TTTGGTGGACGCCTATGCAATACCTGAAAAATGTTCCCATAAAGGGTGAGCCAACGCTCAATAGAGTAACTCCTATAGAGAATACCCTCAAACCTAAATGTATATGAAATGTCACATGAAACAATCATTTTATGCATTCATTCAAATATATCTATTATGAACAAATATCATAAATCATGTTATGCCATGAGATGAGACTCATGCAAAGCAATACCCACACCGAGCCCCATCCTGAGCCCACAACACATGCAATGCATGTGCGTATGTATCCGGCATTTCAAGTCCCTCGTCATTGGTGTTATGTACATTCAATGACTAATTAAATCATTTTCTCGTGTCTTTGTGGGAAGATGATTTATAGTATTACACAAATGGACACCAACCACCAACAGATTCTCAGGACATTCCACCTACAACTCCGTTTTTTGCCGTTACACTTTTTTGAAATTTCACCACCAAAAAGTGTATAAACCAAGTAAACGGGTCTTGCACCTGAGGGAGAATCTAGTCCTTTGCTATCCCCGACACGTTTATCCATTTACATTTCGTGTGACTCAACCAGACTTTGGTGCGACTTTTCCGAGCCCACAATCAACCACCTATGTGGTGATTGATTTTATATCATGCACACACTCCCACCCATGTCAATGCTCATGAATGTAATGCAACTTATTCATAATACAATTCAATGTGCAATTGCCTTTTGTATCATTTACAATGTCCATTACATAAAGAATATAATATAATGACATTTTCAACATGACAATATGTTTATCAATTCTATAAACATAAGCACAAATCCACCACAATAATCATATGCTAAATAATTATTTAACATACATATTATTCTATAATCACATAACAAGCTAATAATTTTATTAAACTTAATATGCCATTTAAAACATAAAATAATGCTAATACAATTAGCATGCTTTAAATCATTAACATTAACTTACACCAAGTTAATCATAATAGGATTTTACTAATCACAAAGTTAATTATAAATCATATATTTGACCCACTAGTTACACTAGTTAAGACTTAACATGTGATGTACACCCTTGACCTACCCATTTTATATGCCATGTTTTAGATTGAAATTAAATCTAAATAAGGAAAACCCAACCTCTCGTAACGTGAGCCCACGTACTGAAACTCGAAGAAACTCAACTTAACTTCCAAAACTTTAAGCCTAGATTATCGTCTTTGATATTTGTTTAGAAAAAAATACAATATTTGGTGTGGTTGGTAGCTCTGAGTAAAACAACTTTAATTCTTGGCCCGAAACGATTAAACAATCCAATCTTCGTAGATCTAAGAAAGAAGGAAGGAGAAAAAAAAAAAAAAAAAAACCTCACATTTCTCTCTCTCACTCTCTCGACAGTACATTGGAAGAAGAAAAGTGGAATACTTTTGTCTTCTACTCTTATATATATATATATATATATATATATATATATATATAGTATAACTTCTTTTTTTTAAAAGTTTACGTTTTTGACCCGTAATTTAACAATTAATTATTATTTTACCTCTTTAATTAGAATTTTTAATAATAATAATAATTTTTTTTTTCCGGGTTTTACACGGTGCTAGAATCTAAGGTTATCAAATGCATGTACATGGAGTATAGATCTTGCAAGGAAATCTGAAAGAGACAAGGGCACAAGTACAGGATTTTCAATGCTTTCCTGACTTCCAGTCCAGAATTGCAGAAAGAAGTGTGTAATTTGGTACTAGGCTCTTATTTGGCAATGGTACATCTTTCATTGGTGACTTATCATTCTCCTCGAACCATATCTCCATGGCCTTACGGTCATATGTGTAACCATCCGCCGCAACACAAGGGTCATCCATTATATCCTGTCACATAATGAAAGTTGCCATTAATAAACTACACCATATTCCATTACGGGATTTGAGAACGGTCAGATGTATGCAACTTCTCTTATAGGGAAGATGAATAATAACGTGCATATGAAAGTGGAGATTACATCGCATGTACAACTACTTAACAAAACCTTGTCCCCATTTTTTTCCGACACATGCAGCTACACAAATATTCCAGAAGTGACTATTTAGAAGATATCAAACAAATCAATGTCCTTCATTTCATTCTCAACAACTTCTGTTTTCAACACTCCATCTAATTTCTGATGTAAATATGTGAGTTGCAAGAGAATTATGCAAAGGCTAGCAGTAGAAAGACATACAAGCATACCTTGAGTATGGGACAAATGAAGTGGTTAGGAGGTGTCTGAGGAGCACTGGATGCCAAATCTCGAGCCTTATCTGCCACTTCTTTCAATCTCTCCAATGCAGGTAGAACTTGATCTTTCATATCAGGTCTGTCTCTACGACGAAGCTCTGAACAGCTCAGGCCCAGCATAGCCAACTCCTTTGTCTCCTCAATTGGCCAATTCCCAGCCTCTGGATCCAGTACCTCCACTAGATCACCATGATCAATTGCTGTTTCCACCACATGGGTTAATGCTATGGCTGGTTTTGCAGTTAGCAATTGCAAAATCACCATGCCAAAAGCATAAACATCAGACTTTGGAGAGATTAATCCAGACCTTTGATACTCGGGATCTATATAGCAGAGCGTTCCAACAGGGCCTGTGTCCTTGTATGTGGTTGATATGGAAGCATTTTCTGAATGAAGCATTGTCGAAAGGCCAACATCACCAATCTTGCTCACGAAGTTGCGATCAAGCAATATGTTTGCTGGTTTTAGATCACGATGGATGATTGGTTCTGGCTTTGAGTTATGAAGAAAGACCATGGCTGAGGCTACTTCCCAAGCAATTCGATATCTCTCAAACCATGGGATTGGAGGTGTATTATTTTTTTGGAGCAGCCTCTCTTCCAAGTTACCATTCTCCATGTACTCATAAACTAGGCAACCATGATCAGAACATGCACCAAGCAGAATTAGCAAATGCGGATGATGAATTTTGCTCAAGACTTCAAGCTGCAAGCCAGTAAACAGCATATATAAGTTATTGAAAAACGAACTGCTTCAGCTAAATGGTTGTGCAACAGTAAATAGAGAAAATTCTAAGAGCACTTAATTACTTTAAATAAATCACACTATATCCTTCTAAAAATAGTTATGATTTTCAGAGTTTCTAGTTATTCAGAGAGCTTTCATACCTCCTGCTGAAATTGCTTGGTCCTGTGAGCCTCTTTAGAGTGGAGGACCTTTACTGCAGCAGTTGTATGATGAAAACTGCACTTATAGACAGTCCCATATGCTCCCATTCCAATCCTAAGATTCTCGGAAAATGATGAGGTAGCAGACACGATCTCTTCCCATGTAAACTTCTTGTACTGCTGCACTGGGCCTACAATGGCATTCTCAAGCTTATCTTTCTCTTTGGCCTCATGTGAGGCCTTAGCTTCTGCTTCTTTCCTTTGTGCAGCTTCTCTTTCAGCACATTCCTTAACATACTTGGCTTCTCTTTTCACCGATTCATATCCATCCTTCTCTTGTTGACCTAATTCTTTCGCTTCCTCCTCCTTGAGGTTCAACTCCTTGAGCTTAATTGACTCCTCCAGTCGGCACTTTTCAAGATCATTTAGCTGACAAAGAGAAAAAAACGTGGAGTGTTGTTCTTTACAAGATGGGGCATGAATCAAAACATAAATTTGGTAAATAAAATAACGCAAACCTTAAATGTGTAACTAGCAATATATCAACTTTTGCTCACTTAATTTTATTATAGGGATCATCAAAATTTTCAAAGATGATCCATATATCTGGTTAATTCAAATCTCTGTAACAATGCACTTTTCCGTCATGGTCCACTATAGTAGCAGTCAATCCCTCTAATGTTCAAGAGCAAAATATTTTGTGCTGTTATATAGCCAGGAACTGCTAAATTTTGTGAATAGGTGCAATTTTTGCCAAACATGACTCCTCACATCCAAAAATATTAGGAACACTAAGCGATCCCAAGTCACCTGAAGTCAAAAAAATACTTTAAATTGTGCCTTGATGTTTTATGAAGAGATCAGAAGGCCTCGATGTTGCAAATTTTGCCAAGATTTTCAGTAATAATTTTAACTTAAGAATAAAATCAAAAAAATTTGGTGACAGAAAAGTGCATGTATAAATAGGACAAACCAAGTCCGGTAATCAAGTTAAGAATTGAATTAAGTCCTTTTCATGCTTATTTAGGCAAAGAAATAAATTTTACCTTTCTAGAAGCATCAATTGTCTCACTTTGAGCTATTGCATACATTCCTCGAGCATGTCTCAGTTCAATTCTTAGTTTTTCGAGCTCAAAATTGATATTGTCCTGCAAAATATAATAAACCTTTTAAGATTACGGTACTATGCCTTGGACTCATCCTGATGGCCACATTTTTAAACTTACAAATATCAAGAAGACGAAGCCTTCATATTAACGATATGGTTGTTAGTTCAAGTCACTTGGGTCAAGCCACTATATTTCAATAAAAAGTAATATTTTTTTTGAAACCCATAGCAACATTAAACATTGATATAGAAAGGAATTTCCAAAAGCACACCGATCTTTTTTGTGTCCTCAAGGATAAGGATATTTCACAAAAAAGAATAAGGTTATTCTATTTTATCTTCATTATATATATATATATATATATATAGACACCACACACACACACACACACACACATGTATGCATTTTCTTTGGGGGAGTGGCGGCAGGGGTGGTTAAGAAACAAATGTACTGCTTGTTTTATTTAATGATGTTTTGGCAGTGAATTTGTATGGAACAGCATAGAAGCTTTTGCACTAACTAATAGACGTTAGCTAATTTCTACTAGTGAATATAGACAGCAGTAAGTAAGTGGTCTGGCTCCTTACTAATCCCCCAAATATGCAAGTTATGCAGGAAACTTTAGCTCGAGTCCAACGTTATAAGGAACTATTAAATGTTTGAACTTTTCTTTGAATCAATATAAATCAGAGGGATTCTGCCAATCTTTCCCACCCAAAACTGATCCTGGTAACAAAGTTAAAGCATTTATGGGGGTCAAACTGATTAAAAAACTAACAAAATTAAACATAATGCAAAACATTGCCTGGTTTTCAGAGGAAAAATCTGAGGGAACAGCTGAGGTAGATGCTTGATCAGATATCCTGGACGGGTGGTCTCTTATCTGGCATCTGAAACTAGAAGCCCGAGTATTTGTAAAGCCTGCATCTGAATTACTTGGACAAGAACTCACAGCGGCAATGCTCTCCCATTCCACAGTATCCAGAGACAGGCTTCTAGAATGATTGGCATCGTTTGAAATTGTTCTTCTATGAGAAAGGGTATTATTAATGATTGAAAGTGATTGAAACCGCTGAATCGGTAGTGATGTAGAGGAAAAAAGAGAATAAGAAGCAGCTGAGCTTGGGCCTGTCCACTCTGACAAAAGAAAGAAAAATTGTATCATCAACTTCTATTAGCTTATAGGCTAATGACATCTCCTGAATAAAGTTACAGACTGGAACCTATAAGAAATACTTACAAACCATGTTAAGGTACTAAGATCCAGTCTTATCATTTCTCTCTGTGTTGCCGGGAAACATATTCTTAGAGTACTCATCAAATAAAAATCTTGGCAAAGCACAGAGCGAAGATTGTTAACAATAAATATCCAAGAATCACAGATTATAAAGGAACTCTCACTAAGCTGGAGGCACCTTTGGCATGTAGTTAATTGAAAATTGTAAGTTCCGCGTTGGTCACAGTACAACACAAACTTGGTGAAATGGTTCATGCATAATTGTTGGCAGGGGGGAACAAGATCAAGTTGGTAAGGATTAAAATATTGCATCATCTCATTTCTGTTATCTATTTTGGGTTGGAAAATATGATGAGGCATGCTATACTAAAAATGGAACATATTTCTAGTTTATCAGACATGTCATACATTAGGATCACACATGTGGCACATCCTTGAGAAGGAAGTAATACTAGGAAAAATTGTAATTGACAACACCATGTCCAGCGCTCTTCAGGACTTACTAAATTCGACCTGTGTCTGCATATCCACAGTCCAGCAGTCAACAGACGCCTAAATCATGCATGGCAAAGCCCATGTGCCTTGATTGCAAAACTATCTCTAAAAGCACATGAACATGATGTGTAACATAATTTCTGTCAATCAGAATCGGGTAATGTTACAGACTTAGATGGCAGGATTACGAGCATCTTGCTTTGCCAGCAATAGTTGGTGAACGGGCAGTCACTGTCTGATGCAAATTTTAGCTTATACTGTTTGCTTATACATATTGTGGATGCTAAAAAGCCAATTAGAGCACAACCATTCATCCGAAAACATTAGAAGTCCATAAACATGTATATTTACCTGTTTGTGAAGTGGAAGTGCAATTTATAGGATTGCTGGTAGAAGAACTTGTGTCACTACTGTCATCTTTAATGCTTCCAGTTATCTCTGAATCAGATGGACGCACGGATGACAATTTGCCCTTTGAAATAGCATACACCGTACAAAAGCTTGGAGTGCACTCGGATATTCTTGAGGACAAACTTTGTCCCCTAAGTTTCCAACAAACATTACTTTGTTAACAATATTGGTAATGACGTCAACCAGGAAATAGTGAAGGCAGCATACAAAATTGAAAACAATCAGGCTTTGAATTTCACACTCAAAATCGGGAGAGATTAATTGAACAAAAGGGATTAGGCAGATAAAGTTCATTAACTAAGGGTCAACAAAAGCATCACAAAGAAGCATGGTACGTTAATACCTTGAAAACAATCTCCGGGATGAAGTTCCTATAACAAGCTTGGTAATATTACATTTGGCAACCTCACTCGCTATCGCATCTATGACATCATCTGATTCAATTTGTACAACTTCTACTTGCACCTGCAATCAGAATCCTGTATAATAAGCCTCTTTAATTTCATTTTCTTTTTTTCCTTGAGATTCTCATAAGCCAATGAATTTCAACCTTTGTTTGAGCACACATCTTCTTGTAAGGAAGAAGCTTTTTGCTCATTTGCCATTCCACTTCTTTCTTGTAAGCAGCTACAATATCATCTCGCACTTGCGAAAGGGGAAGGGAATTTCCCACTGGAAAAAAGAATTAGTGTCAAATATCTAAAGCATAGAACAGATGTAGATATTGCTATCATTTAACACGTACCCCGCCACTACGAGGTCTAGGGAGGAATGACAAACTGCCAACAACACTTCAAATACAACACAATTCGAATCAAAAAGATAAGAAAGATAGTTACTAACAAAACTAGGCAAATTAAACGCCATCTCTTAGCAGAAGCTTAAGAACTCCATTTTATCATACATGTCGTAGAATAGATCTACTCTACCCTGAAAGAAAAATCCGAAGAGAACACAACTTACTTGGCGTTGGAACCTTAGTTATCTTAGGGCGGACATGTAGCAACTTGAACATAAGCTTCCCCTCGGGAACAAATTTGTCTAATGCCCACTTAACTATATATTTACTCTTTCTATTTCCAGTAATAGCAATTGCAACAGTCAAAGATGGAGGGGGAGGCAATGCATATAGGCCTTCAATTATTTCTCTCTCCTCCATTGCCTTGGGCTTCCCTTGCCAGTGAATGCTCTGTAACATCCATAGATATGAACACAACAGTTAAACTTGCAATCGAATGAATAGTCAGAATTAACAGGAGAGATGAAGCAAAGAAATTCATTTTTCTGTAACAAAAAAAAAAACTCCAAATTAAACACCTTCAAAGAAACAGAAAATACCCAGAAAAACTTCCCTTTTCAAATTGTTCTTACAAAAGTGAAGGGGAATGGGGGAAAAAAAAAAAAGGAATAATAGGACCTCTGTCCATGAGAGAGAGAGAAGCACCCAAAAAGATATCGCTACAGAAACTTCAAAGAAAAGCTGAAAACAGAATAGAGACAGAAACCTTACCAGCTCTTGAGAATTAAAAATTCCATTATTTGAATTGTCTTAAACCCATCTGAGCAGGGTACAAGAAGAAGCCATGTGATCCCTCTGATCTTTTAATAAAATATCTAAAAACATCCGAACAACGTTGGCATTTAATATCTCTAGATTATTAGCAGAAGTTTAAACCATTCGCAGAAGAAGATGATTTAAAAATGCAACTACCACCCAACATTCCGTACACTTCACGCCTCTACATTCGTTCCGCAGTTACATGGTTACATATATTTCTCTCTCTCTCTCTCCTGCTTATTCATGAATTGATTGGTCTGGTTATGTTGTTATCTTAACATTTTCCTAACTCGTCATTCGTTTTGTTAAAAGTCGGCCAGTCTGCCCATCGATTTGTTTAATTCATGTTAACGATATTAATTATCATTTCGTTATTTTTATAAAAAGGTAGGCGATCGGAGAGTATACAAAGACCTCCCTTCTATTTTTTTTGGAACAAACTTGATTAGACTCGTCAAATTATTGAATCCAAATATAAATTTTAAGACTTAAATTTCTAATTTTAGAATGAAAAATTTGATTGGTACTCCATTAGACCACCACATTCGATGATTGTTAATTATCATTTCATTAGTAGAGAATCAATAACCAGTTGCGATCTTATGTTTGTGTATATTCGAGATAATTCGTGTTGGAAGACACAATGTAACAAAAGTGATAATGTAGTGAGAAATTAATGAATTTAGAGAAAAAATTCAATATGAATAATTTTGAGAGGGTTATTGAGGTCATTCAATGAATTTATTTGTGACAATTAAATAGATATATTGAAATTTGTTTAATTTATATTATAAATTATAGATTAGTTTATTTTCCGTAAGATTGTTAGGTAGAGGCTCACGTGTCCTCCGAGCTATTGCACAGTCTTCAACTGTGATAAGGCATTGTTTGGATGGTCCTTATTATGCCCCAAAAATTGACATCGACACAATTTTTTATTTTTAATTATTTTTTATTATTAGCGGTAGCTCCGACCAATGAGGGATGTAAATCCCATCTATATATATATTTTTTTCCATCTTCTTTTTGCTTTCTTTTTATCAATTAAACAATTAACGAAATTAAGAGTTAATTATAAAAGATACGTTTTATTTTTTTTAATAAATCAAAGTACTAATAAATAGAGATTGACCTTAGAATGAGTATTTAAATAGATTTAGAAGGAGACCTAAAATAACTGAAATATGAGAGTTACCGTCTAGTCTAGTTGGTGGTTAATTTTGATTAAGTATTGATTAAATAAATAAATCAGAACTTTATAATTTCAGAAAAGAGGGAGGGAGGGTAGCTTTATCACGGCATCTCTCCATTAATTTATATATAAAATTCAAAAAATCGATTCTATTATATTAATTATTTTTAAAAATATTAACTATAAATTAATTAAATATTAAATAATTAAATATATGATAGAAATGAGTGATGTGATATTTTTAAGAAAAAATATATAAATGATTAAACATATGACAGAAATAAGTGATACGATAAGATGTTTGAACCTGACAAAGAGATGATGGATGAAGTAAGTGATTGGTGATGGTTTTGAAGGAGAAAATATGACTGAAATAAAATTCAAACACACTCCTGTTTTATTATATATATATATATATATAGAGAGAGAGAGAGAGAGAGAGGGAGAGAGATTTGGCACCACTTGCTAAAGTGGTTTTTCTTATTTTTTTTATCGAATCGACTTATGTGCACATTAATTAATTTTTTTTCCGATTTGATTAAAGGTAGACTATCTCTTACTGTTTGGTTTTAAAAAGTTGTCAAGATTCAAACTCATAATATTTAGATTTACAATTTATTTATGTTACCACTTGAACTATCCCTCAGAATTTACTTACTCCCTCCGTTCTTAAATATCTGTTATTTTACACAATTTTTTTTGTTCCATAATATTACTCGTTTAATAAAACTAAAACATAATTAATATTTTTTCTTCCAAATTTACCTTTAACTTTTCAATGCATTAGATTAGGTGAAAGTTAAGTGTCTTTTATATTCATTTTTCTCTTAATACATATTGAATAAGGGTATTTTAGTCTTGTGTAATTAATTTTTACTCATATTAGAGTTATTTAATAGTTTCCGTAATCACTGTACAAAAACTTTAAACAAAAAATATTTAGGAACGGATGGAGCATTAAGTGGCTTTCAAATATTCAATAATTAGGCCTTTTTCGTATTTCTGTGAACTATCTTATGTGCTGAGAAAATTAGACGGTGCGAAACGAGGAGGAAGGAACATAGAATAAGACTTGGGTTTCTTGCCTTTTAAGAAGTTTGGGTCTCTTAAAAAAGTAATATTATGTGAATTTAAAAATTAAATTTGATAATTTTAACCATTAATTTTATTGTAAGTCTTAATATTTATTAGGATTCACTATTTATTCAATAATTAAATTTAATTTTTAAAACTAGTTTCTAAATATAAGTAACATTACTTCTCTTACAACAGCCGTTTTAGACTTTTAGTGTTCTACAATAAAGATAATGTTGAGTCTCCCAGTCCACAACCATTTATTTATCTTAACAACTATACATTGACTGACTCAATGACTCGTATGAACAGTAATGAAGTGAAGTTGTTGACTTTGGTGGCTCAATCTTTAAATGCATCATGTAGAAGGGTATCTTCTGTGTATCTTCTGTGAGAGAGAGAGAGAGAGAGCGAGAGAGGGCGACCAGGCCCAGGTCAAAGCCGTTTCGTATTTTGAGTACATAGCGGCACGACCAAGTAGAAAATCTTAACAGGATGTCACTATATCGGTCCTTATTCGTCGAGAAAGCCCTTCACGAGGGCATTGACGGAGGAACGATAGGCGCTGCCCAAGAACAACCTGAGTCATAGTTAGATTTCGGTCTCACCAAATCTCTAAAAAATAATTCAATAATTTATTTTTATTAAATCAAACCCGAAACATAATTCTTACAATCTTTAAACAAAACCCTTAACAAGCCTTTAAGCAACGTTGGACCAAATGACACCGATCGCTTGGGTTGGTCGAAGAATTTGGAACCTTTCTGATGTATTGTTATTCTTAACTTTGTCAATATTATATCAATCACCATTTCGATTACGGACAAGCTTGAACATAAAGGGTTCAACTTGGGTTTTATGGCTAGTAACCTACCATCGAGGGAATCGGGAAAAAAAAAAAGAAGCAAATTGTAATAGACATAGCATCATTTTCAATCATCTCTATCGGCTATTGATGGTAGGCTCCAAGTGATATGAAATTAAGGGGATCGATAGAATTTAATATTAAAAATGAGTCAAATACATTATTTATTCATATAATTTTAAAGTAAAAGAATATCATTCGTGTTGATGTAACATCGATGTGAATGGTACAAAATTTCTAATTGAATGTCGCCTAATCGATGTTCAACTAATAGCTATAACATCACTAAATGACAACTTTTCTATATTATGGTCAAAATTTAAAAGAAGTATCAAACACGCAATCAATTAAATTTGTAAATACACTGTACAAGGTGGGCCTCTAATGACCGGAATTTTGTACTCCTCTTTAGCAAGGGACCATCACTGTCAAATGTTACACTCAAAAATTTATAGTTTTACTTGCTATCTCTGCTAGCATTGTCTACTTGATAGAGACTTTAGGGTCACAGGGAAGTGGTAACACTTCCAAGCTTTGGCTGCCAATGAGTGACGAGGAAAGACCCTCGAGACAACTTTGAAACAGCCAACATGAACACCTTAATCATATCCAAAGAAACAAAGGATAAAAACCTTTTGGAATTGGATTTTTTTTTTCCTTACTTGAGTTTTTACATTATGATATTGGTAAAAAAGAATTAAAATTTGTCTGTTCTATCTTTATATGTTCATAAAAAAGAAAATAAAGTTTTGCATCGACAAGATTCTCGAGGTGGTGCTTGAAATCGACCTTCTTTTATTCTTGAGACTTCAGTATAATATTCGGTAACGCAATTAAAATTTGTAGTTAAAATTTATGTGTTTTTTTTTGGTTAAGAAAAAAGAGATAAGGACAAAAGAAAGCACTTAGAAATTACCTTGACACACTAATAGGTCCTCACTAGTGGGAGTGTTCAAATTTTTGATTGGCCGTAATTTCCTACCCTATCCGACCCTACACTATCCTACCTTACTGAATGACTAGCTGCAAAAATAGAGTAAAAATGCAAAAGAGTTTTTGGTCTTCCGATTAAATTGGGTAGGAATACAAAATGTCCATCAATTTTCGCATTCCTATCCTACCTGTAAAAAATATATTTAACTTTTTTATATTTTTTTAGTAATTATAAGAGTATTTGTGTAATATAATTTATATTATAACATTGTTATTGTTGTGGATATTTAAGTTCTGAAAATATGAACTTGTTTTTTGTGTAAATTATATGATTTGTGGTGAACTAGTGATCTATTGGAGCAGTTATGATTTTAATGTATTTCATATAATTTAAACTTACAATAATTGTTATTTTATTTGTGTAACAATTATGATGGATTGATGTTCATGTTTTCTTATGTTTTATTGTAATTGTTGTTATAGTTTGTTTTAAGTTTTAGTATTATTGATTTATTGTGTTGTTAAATTAATGCATGTTATTTCATTGAATTGTTAACATAATCCAAAAATTAATAGTTATAAAATATTTATCCACCTTCCTACCCGATTAATCGGGTAGGATAGGTAAAGAAAAAATTCTTCTACAAAGTATTAAATAGGAAGACAAAAGATTATATTTCTTACCCGTAGGGTATGATGAACACCCCTACTCACTGGCGAGATCATAAAATTCCTGATCACATCCGTTATACCTCTCAAAAACAAACCCATTTAGGTTAGTATATCAATCAATCACCGAACTTTAACATAAATTTCAAAAATTGAACCTTCATCCTGATGATAAGAAGTTTAACTGAGAATTACTTAACATATTATATCCTTTTTTATGAATAAAAAAAGAGAGGATAGAAACCTAATTTCATTATCCAACTGTCATTT